ACACTTTTAATTAAAATAATGAATTGATAATGTTCAGCATAAAATTTTCATTCAATTCTTTTATCTTTTTCACTTGATAATATTTTCGTAAATGGATTAATTCACTATGTGATAATTATGTCTAATAATGACAATTGACTGATCACTGGGTGGTGATCAGTGTCACGTGTTTTAGATCCTTCTTAGTGCAGATCGAATCCTATCAACCAAGTTGTAATGTGGCCACTAGTCTAGGTGACTCGACTCCATAGAATTAAACCTGCACTAATAAGGACCTGAAACGAGGTCATTCGCGGCCCGGATAGCCCAGTCGTAACGTCTCTAACTGTGAATCTCAGTGATATGGGATCGAATCCGTCAGGAAGCATGGGTTCCCTCAAGATAACAGATACACCTTAATGACGAGTGCCAAATAGCACGAAACCTAGGTCCAGAGTTTCCTGTTGACTATCTCTAACCACCATCTTATACATGATATCTATTATTTTGAGAAAAGAATTTAGTTTTACTACATTTATAAGATGAAAATTCAATTCACTGATTGTATATTTTTTTCCAATTAGCACAATGTTTCTTTTTGCATCAGCCAAGATAAAAGAGATAAAAATTTAACAATTTCCACTTATTTATCTTTCTTGTTTCTTGTTTTGTTTTTCTTCTTCATATGTAATACGTAAACAAGAGTACAATGTAAATTCATACAGAATTACGTCTGTTTTTTTTATAGCACTGCAATACGTTTCCAGTTAACTATGAAAAGAAAACTTTCAAGGGAACTATCTATGGCTCATATAGATTTATTTATGGTTGTAGACAAAGAAACCGATAAAAACATCTTTACGAAGTTATTGTGTATGAAAATTTTTATACACTGCTATAGTCCAGTGTTTACTCATAAAATAAAAATGGACTAATCAATCTGATTGAATACTTCTCTTAATTGGTCATTTGGTCATAGGATTCTAGGGAACAAGAACATAAGTGGGACAATCGAACGTATTTGACACGAAATTACAGAGCATCTCGCTAAAATCTCAGAACCATTTAGTAACTAGTTAATTTATAAAATATCAATCCATAGTCTCAAACTTCACTGTTCCTTTTGCAAATATCGGTTCATTGTCTCAAATTTTATTGTTCACGCGTTCCGGTTCCGTTCTTTCCTTTTCGATCTTCTGCTGAGATACATTCTATGCCTGACCACCATTATATACTACTTATATGGATATAAGTAACCCACATCTCAGTATCAGTATAGAGGTTGGTGGAGATTGTAGTAATTTTTAACAGTTTAATGCACGAGTCTATCGAACTTGGACCACCAATAAAAATTTGGAAGCACTGGACAGTCGTTTTGTTGTAGTATGAGACTCCTCAAAAGTGCGCATGCAGGATTCTAACTCATGACCTTCGTTCTAACTTCAATCGATCCATGATCTTGTTCAACTTTCCATCCATTATTTGTGGTGGATAACTGTCTCATACTCGACACGGATTGGACTCCATTCATTGATTGTCTAGCTTATATCGACTCATGAATTCAACTATTAAAAACATTTTCATTCGTCTCTGTATATTTTTCCTCTTTAGTCCAACTGACACCACTCAAATGACATAATATGAAATATTTGTGTTTATTTAAATTATATGTACACAGTGAAATTATCTTGGATAGCTACAAAATTGAATAGAATTAATTTTCAACCAATTTTCACATATAACCACTTATTTGTATGACTGGTCAGGATTTCAGTGTAGGATGGATAGAAACACATCTTTACATTCTATTTATCGAAACTTTAATGGCAGACACCTAAAAATGTTTGAAGTTTCGATATTCTTACCATTTCTAATATACTTTGTAACTTGTAGTAATGAAATCTAAGTAAAATAAACACTTACCTTGTAGATAGCATTCTTTACTGATTAATTATACTTATAGCAATATTGGAAATCATAAAGCTCTGGAGAGTTGTCTGTTCCTAGCATAGGATTCCTCAAAAGCTCATATTGATGTCCCAGCCAAAAATAAAATCCAGGACCTTTAGTTTTTTATAGTAAACGCTTATTCATTAAAACCACTAGGTCTGAATCCATAAGGTATCCTCTAAATGCGTATTTGATATATACAACCAACAAACTAAGTGAATGTTCACCAACTCCTTCATCGAAACTATATTCATTTGAAAATAATGATAAGTGCACTTATAAATTATAGCAGTTTGATAGCACATGAGTATTAGAAAACACACATATATATGTCCATAATGTAACATTACATTTCTTAATACTCAAAATATCGGACAACAAGCTGAAATAACCATAAATGATCAATATTTTGTACAAACAACAGTACTAATTTTGGTATACACCTCTTATATGAAAAGATATAAGTAGTATGTAACAGTAAGTAAGTAAGTAAGTAAGTAAGTAAGTAAGTAAGTAAGTAAGTAAGTAAGTAAGTAAGTAAGTAAGTAAGTAAGTAAGTAAGTAAGTAAGTAAGTAAGTAAGTAAGTAAGTAAGTAATATAATTAATGAAACAATGTCGCTATTTATGGATTCATTTCTATGATTTTTCAAGATTATATTTCATTGTCAATAAATTACCGATAGTCCATCCATTCACTTTAGTTAGATTACTCTGGCGACAATTATTGTCATTACGATTATTATTATTATTATTATTATTATTGCACATAAATGATCTCAGTTGTAAATGATACTTAGTTTTACCAACAATGTAATAATCTTTCGTAAACTGATATCAGCATATATGTGATCTTTTTTTTCATTATATAAATCAGATGAATACTGAATATAGACATAGACAATGTTATGTCTATATTATTGCATACCGATTCCATTGTATTTTCAAATCATAATTTTTCATTCGAAACAAAGTGAATTTATATCATCTACATGTACTTATATACCAATTAATAGTAGTTATGTAGTGAACACTAACACAAATAGGGACAATCTAATGTATTTGAACACAAAATTATGGAATAACTCACTAAAATCTGAGAACCATATAGTAAATACTTCATTTGTAAATATCAGTTCATCATCTCAGATTTTATTTTTTCTGCATTTTCATAACAATTACTTTCCATTACTGTTCTTTCCTTCTTGATCTTCTACTGATATACATTCTATTTCTGATTATTGCTATATACTACTTATGTGGATATAAGTAGCTCACACCACAGTATCTGACATAAATCTACCTTTTTTCCAATTATTGGTCTAAAGCCTTATGAAACAGTTCAATTTAGCATTACAATAGTGTAAGGTTTATAAAAGTGTCAATACTAATTTACTACTTTATAATAAAAAAATAATATTTTAAGACTATTCGAAAAATTGATGTATGTTGTATCCAAGTTGAAAATTTCTGTATTGGATTGCAAAAGTATTTTAGGTTTCCATTAACAAAGTGATATAGTATTCTGTTCAGTTTCATAAATCATTACACAAAAATTGATTATATTTTAGTTGACGAAAGAATAATAACTTTTCTGATTTATTTAAATATATTTTCATGAGACTTGACATAGATCTGGATCAGATTCTTGGTTCGGTTGTGAGTTCTTAATATATTAGATGTATCTTTAGAGGTTTATTTTGAGAAGATATTCCATTTTGTTTTTACCTAGTATAGACATATTACAGTATACTAGGCATACCTTTCATTTGTTACCAACTTTACACGTCGTTTTTTTATTACTGATGTTCTACTTTACTTTTGACAAACCAATATTTGAGGTACCATTTATTGATTTTTAGCAATCAAATGGCTGTTATTCAGTTTAACCAAAAGTATATCTTTGTATAGCAATTATATCAGCTAATATGCTGTACATGAACATTTAAAATAAATATTTTGACTTCAAAAAATTTTATCTGAACAACATATCTTGTTAATGCACCAAGATGCCTAGAAATAGTTTGCTAATTTTTGTTTAAAGCAAATCAGTTAAAATTATGTATTTAATAACTTATAAACTATAATCAGAATGGAGTTCTTGGAGATTGTAGAGTGTTTGATTATTGAATTCGTAAGTCGATTTAAGCTAGATAGACCACCATTGACAACGTAGAAGCACAAGACGGCCATTCCATGTTAGTATGGGACACTTCAGCAATGCGCATCCACGAGTAGTTGAGAAAGATCATGAATCGATTGAAGTTAGACATAAAGATCGTTGAATGCTGGTTCATGGTTGCGTGTTCGCGCGTTAGACCGAAGGTCATGTTTTCCAGTTCTTTCGGTATGGGATCGTAGATGTGCACTGACGAGGAGTCCCATACTAGGACAAAATGGTCGTCCAGTTCTTCCTGGTTTTCAATGGTGGCGTAACTTATATCAACTCATGAGTTCAACCAATAAAATTGCAACCTATAGATTAAAATACATACTTCAATGTACAAATTCCTTACTATAATTTAAGTATAAAAGCGAATAGCCAAACCTATTATATTTACAAACGCTTTAAACTACTCACAAATCAGTAGTCAATAAAAATGATAAATAATTATATGTTACATAAAAAATCAGCGTTTTTCAGCAATTCTTTATTTAAGTGCATAATACTTTTTGATTTCATACTTAGCAATACTTAACTAATACTGATTAATATGCAAATTCTTTTTTCTCAATAAGATCAGTTCAATCCAATTTACAAAATAATATTATGTAATGATGGTGTGATTTATATGATCATCACAAATGATTCTATATAACCTAAGCAAAGATGGATAGGGGCTAGCAGTGGAATCTAGGACTCGCGTTTCATCTTATTATGGACTCGTCAGTTGGATGTAGCTGCGTCTCAGAGATGATGTTCACTCTGAGACTTGAACCCAATACCGTTCTTTTCAAACGCCATCACATTATCCGCTTAGCTACTGAACTTAGATAGCTACTATCTTGTACAATGGGGTGGAGTTTAAATTCATTTGTTAACTTATTTTATTTTATTCACTTCTACATCTAGATCAACTTTCCACGTTATCTGGGTAAATTAACTTCACGAAATCATTTGATTATAATGCCTAGAGATATGCAAGTATGGGTTACTAATATTGACTATTACGATAAATTGGGTCGAGTGTTACAACAAACATCGTTTAGGTTAGTTTCTTAATATTTGTTTATGGTTTTATCTTACAACTTAATGTTTTGTTTCATTGAAGCATCAATTCCAATGAAGATATTTATAATAATAGTGTAGAGCAAAATTTTATAACAACGAATTTACTCATCATAAAACCACAGGGGAAAGATAAACGCCTTTAATTCATTGATGAACCGTGAGTATGCCCTACTGAAGGGTCTCATACCCGGATGTTTATCCGATGTTGTTTTTTTTCGTTTTCGGTGGTATTCTGAGATCAATCTGCGACAGATACAATGTGTTAATTCATCAATGATATAAAGGTAAACTTTTGGATAAGGATCCATTAACTTCGTAATCAAACTTCAAAACAAACCATGTAGAAATGCTTGTTAAATCCTTTAGAAGGTTATACCAAAAGAGCAACCGTTTACATGATTATTTAATCTTATACTGATCAAAATGACAACCATATATATATGATAACGGTTAATTCAAAGACAGTCATAGAAATGTTTCATACATGAAGCGGATTAGTTACTGATTCAAGTTTTATGAGTACGAATAAGTCTTTTTTTAGTATACTAGTATTTCTTGGCTTCAAATTATGGTCAAAATGTAGAATGAATAACCCAGTCACTTTTATGTAAACATAATCGAACAATTAGTTTGTCGTAAAAACAATGATAAATGTGAAAAATGTTTTGGAAAAATAATCAGTTTTAAAGTTGCGATATCAACGAACGACAAGGTATTTCTATTTGTATGTCAACCAATCACGGAAACTGGTAGGAATACTGGTGAGACTAAGTTAGATGATCAATGGAATTCAAAAAGTTCTTGACATATTTCTCTTTCATATCTTGAACTTGTTACATGTAGAATTCAATACTTTCAGGAGTTACCAATTCTCCGTAAGTCCAAGTCCCAATATTTCCACCTCAATTAACTAGTCAACATTATTCATAAATATTTATTTTCAACTTCAATATAGTTGATTACTGAAGTTATACTTTTCAATCAAAGCTCAATCTCATTCATGCAATAGATATTTTTTTAGAGGATTTTATTTAATTGCTATAATTGATGGTCAGTATTTTTTTCTGAACAGTTTCTGTCGTTTATTCTCTTTACTTAGCGAGTTACAAGACTACATTACATTTGCAATACTTCACAAATATGGAGGATACGTTGATCAGGAAACTGCACAATTAAAGAATAAATTTCTAAAACCATATGCAGGTACTTATCAGAAAATATTGTTGATTTACTATTTCTATTAAAGTTTTAAGTCAAAATAAATCCCATTTTACCGATCCAGTATAATTTAGGGTTAAAGGTCTTCAAACTAATAGTTTGGTTCATTTAAAAATGAATTACTAGTATAGGGGTTGTGGAGATTATTAAGTTTTTTGATTGAGATCATGAACCGATTGATGTTAGAACACCTTTGGAAACCTGGAAGCACTAGACGGCCGTTTCATCCTATTGTGGGACTCCTCAGCAGTTAGACACTATCACCATTGGATGCCGGCTCATTGGCCTAGTAGGTTAAACGTTCACGCGCGAGACCGAAGGCCATAGGTTCGAATCCTGCGAGCGGGATAGCGGATGCGCATTGCTGAGGAGCCGCACGATGGGACGATGCGTCCGTCCAGTGCTTCCAGGTTTCCAACGGTGGTCTAACATCAATCGGTTCATGATCTTAATTAAAAATGAATTATCGAACACAGTATACTGATTACTATGAATTGTATTTAAGTCAGTTAATATTACGCTTAACAATCATGTCAATCAATAGAATACAATTTTTTGTATGCTTCATTTTATCATCTTTATAACGAGGTCTTCACATCTCGATTCCAGTTGAGATGAATCAAGTATATGATGTACTAACTATTCACTAGTCTCAACAATAAACAATAATTTTCTTCTAAAATTTATAGAACGATTTGAATTATGAAAGACTAGTTCTTACACAAAACATTAAATGAAATAAATCGGTGGAATTATACTTCGGAATATTCTTTACAATAAATGATTTCAAAGAGTCGCCAGTTAAATATGTCACAAACTTAAGTCTTCATGAAAAGTTTATATATATATATATATATATATATATATAGAGAGAGAGAGAGAGAGAGAGAGAGATTATCACCGGGTCTAATGTATATTCAATCGCTAAGATAATCTTCACTTCTATTTCAAAAAGTAACTGTAAGCTTGGAAAATAGCCAGTGTACACACAATTTTTTTTGTTAAATTTTTTTTCATTTTAGAAAGCCTTGGAATTGATCAAGTTTCTTATTGGCCATTTTTGTTAGATTTAGCTTCACCAGGATTACAACAAATTCTTCAAAGTCAATGGAGTTCCATTCAACTCAGTCATGGAATTAAACAAGTAGATAATTAAAAATAATACCTAATTTCTATATTTCTAATCGTAGACATAACACATTGAATCATTTTACAAAATTAACTTGATCAGTTTCTTAATATTATGATTTTTAAATATAAGTACTTTATTACAACATGTCAACGATTTTGTCGGTAACAAGTAATAAATTGTTAATGGTCAATTCCAACCTAACTGTGAATCTGGGTGATGTGTGTTTAAACCCCATAGGCCAAACTAATTTCCCTAATATCGCAGCTTACATTGCCTATTAATATCACACAGAACGAAACCTATGTCGAGTGGATCTTTCTTACGACTATCTCAAGTCACTTAACATCTTGAAATATTGTTTACGGTATTCAGTGACTTAAAGTGGTGGCTACATTGTAACTTTGTCGACAGTATTTACTTACTACTAGAAGACTAAACAAATAAGGCATTGGACACTACTAAATAATCAATCAGTTGAACTGTTCGATTATGTTAGTTGTATATTTTAATGTGAATTACAAAGAAGACTCAATAAAATTCACGTCTAAAGATAGATCAGAACAGTAGAGAAATTCCATTTCTTATTTATACTGTATATCATACTTTTAGAAAGTTGAAGTCAATGAACAGAATGCCAAAAACATTGATTTCTTAATGAATACAATTCATCAGTAGAAAGGTATTCCAAAATCTTCAGGGTACTGAATGCTTATTCAGAGATTCAGAAATTCATTAATGTTCATTACAATCAAAGACCAATTAGCACAGAGTAATTCAGTCCATGGCTATTGTTCTGTAAAATTAAGATGTTCAATTAAAAATTTACTACTGAATAAAACCATACTACTTACTATTCAATGACAGATCATTGTAAATAGTTATTTTTTGTTTTATTTTGTTGTAAATTTATTAACTAATAAATTGGTTTGCATTTGATCAATTATTTTACTGTGATCCATCACTTTTGAAACTATTTTCATATTAGCAGTAAAATCCAGAACGCGTGTTTCGTTCTATTTTGGACCCAGTACTGTTTGCTTCAAACGTCATCGCGCTATCCACTTAGCTATTGAGTCCAAATAGCCACTTGCTTGTGCAATGGAGAAAAGTTTAAATTCACTTGGATTCGAGTTCCAGAGTGAACACCAACTCTAAGATGCAGGTAGATCCAGCTGACGCGTCCCAAATAGGACGAAACAAGATTTCTACATTCCACTGCTAGTCACTATCCTTCTTCGCTTATAAAGTTTGTGACTTCAGGCAATATCTAAGCAGTCCGCACATGATGTGCATATCCCAATAAGACTGATCAATCACAGTCCTAAATAACAATGGGAAGATACAAGTAAACAACCTCAAGTGAATATTTCCACATTAGTTACATCATTAAATGTTTTCACTGTTTTCATTCAATCTTTAAATTGTTTTTTTTTTAAATTCTAGTTTCAGAATGAAATTTTAACTCCTGTACAATCGATAATCATTAAGTTGTTAAATAGATCAATGCCTGGAACAACAAAATGTTATCAGTTATTAAATAAGGTGGGCGAAATGATTTTTAACTGAAAAAAAATCCGTAGATTATTTAAGCGAATTGTTTTCATATCCAGTAAAAAACTAATATTGTATTTACTATTATTTATTTGAACAAAAATATTTTAACAAAGGGGCACCGAATACATATGCGCCACATAAGTCACTTGATTTGTGTGTGGGCTGCGCTACTTCCCGGGTGCCCAGACTCGAGCAGGTGGTTTTCTTAGAGAGCCACACCTGGAGACGTCCAACTAAAGGTCTGATCCACAAAGCAGTGGAGCATCGTAAGGAGATGCAATCCCATGGTAGCCGGTGACCAACCATTGGTTCATACGCCATTTGTTCCTTCAGAATACCGGAACCCATGTTCACCATTGGTTTAGAATTAAAGTTTTCCAACTCCCCTAGACGAATCCTCCCAATCCACTAAATCGGTTAAGGTGTCGGACATTCACTTTCCATCCTCTCAATTTCGTAAACAACACCCCCTACGCGTGAAGGTATTTAATAGGACTTCCCTGGCAGTGGTTGCATACGCGTGGCCTTGTGAGAGCATTTCGAGAGGGAGAGCGAACTCTCCCCACTCTCGGCCGTACCAGGTCATTTGGGAGAGAACTATATTAAACGAAGATATTATATCAATATCCGTATAGCTATGGTAACTATACCTTATTACACTAAATCACTCGTGTTCAACAGTAAAAATAATCGCTTTCTTATAAATTATTGTTTTGTCAATTACAATTAATCACTGGTTTGTGGAATAACATTTTGGAAATACTTACATTGGCATACAAAAAGTCAAGGAAAGTTCATGTTAAGACAAAACAGTTACCAACTGACCACCCGGTTTCCAGTGATTTTTTTTAACTGAGATCAGTTCGTTCTGTGAATTGTTTTTGAACAATAACTATGTTTATCAACTTGATAAAGACATTAGACACTAACTGTTATGCTTAAAAATCAGTCTGACTAATTTTCGTCGCCTACTCTTTTAATCAGGTCTGAATTTAAATGAAGAAATTGCATGGAAATATGTATACATTCATAAGAAATAGTGAAATCAACTAAATTCAGTATAGTTTTTATGAAGATTGTTCAAATCTATTCTATATGAATTAAATACCTAAATAATAACTCACCAAAGTATAAAATTAATGTTGATATTTGGTGTATCTAAATTAATGGATATAGATTCAACAAGTACCCAGATTGATATGACAATTTTGTGAAGTTGACTTGGGTTTAGTTTTCAATAATGATTTTAACTAAAGCGCCACTGTATCTGAAATGTTCTAGTGGAAACGATTAAGGGAACAATTCAATAAGGTTCGGACAGAAACAGTTCTTAATGTTGTCGGTTGTTGTCGCAATGTTTTAAACGAACTAACGTTCGAACTATTGAGTTCCACATCAGTGATTTAAATCAAACGAATTCATATTAAAATCTGAAGGTTTTATGTTTGATTGAGTGTGTATATGTGTTAACATGACCTTCTGAAGTATCCCAGTTATAAATTTTAAGTAGCTGACCAGTCGTATTTGCTTTTCAATACATTTAAACTTAATTAGTATTATTTTAAGTAAGATAACAACATAGTTTATCCTCAATATATTTTAATCTAACTCTGTATGTAAACTTCTAAGTTTTCCCAACGGTTCTTAAGTTAGGGTTTAATGTATTATCAGATGAATACAAAAAATAAACCAGAATACACACTGATTCAAACAATTTTTGCCTACTTACTTTCAGATAAGTAGTATGAAAATTCAACTCATGTCATACAATGGTCATGATTCGATGGGAGACTTTTATTCTGAGGTAAGAATTTCCCTGTTTTTTAAAAAAAACAAAGTATGGTTGAAAACAAGACTTGGTGATATTATATTGTCTTACACAACAACAAATACTTAAAATACAATCATTTGTTAAATGACTAAATGAAGCTTAATAATCTAACGTTTGTTGGTTGAGGGCAGTCGACAGGCTTTTCAGTCACTTTCAACTACCTAGCATTTAAACATGGTACAAGCGACGTCATATCACCTATCCTAGAGTCTATGTCATAACTTAGTCAGTAAAATTCGATTAGCACTGAAGAATAGACATGTAGGACATTGCTTACTACACAGTGTCCAGTCGTTATAAAGTCAACTAAACATGTCTGTGAATAAACTAAGGATAAACTGAGTATACCCAAGCTTCTTAATCAGATGAAACTCAAGATAATCTGCAAATTAAAGTGTTTAACATTTATTAACACTCAGTTATGATGCATATTCAAAATTTAAACCACAAAAATATTAAATATATACAAATTATGGCTTATTCTCTGAAGAAATCCCTTTCATTTCTCCTGTATATGTACATTTCATTTGCAAGTATATTCCATAATTTATTCCCTACATGTCTAGTTATCTGTTCAAGTTCAGTAACATATTCTCTCATTCTAATAAGGATTTAAATTAACTGTGTTTTTTTAAAATGGTGTACATTTACGGATAGAAAAACTCGATATAACTAATGTAATCATGTTGGATGCTGATTATACAATCATACTTGCAATGGACATTTTAAACAGGTATAATCTTTCTATGAACAATTATCATTTTATGAGTTCATTAAATTCCCATTACAATTATTGCCTAAAAATCAATTCATTTGATGATATACAAATAAGTGTGTGTAATTTGTGTTATTGGGAGGAATATGGTGAACAATATGTAAGTGAGAAAATCAGGAAAAAAATGAAAAATGTAAGTAAAACATGAACTAATGTACAAATAACCATATCGTATACACTTACATTTGACAACGAAAACAATCGACAACAATTAGCCATAACAAACCAATCTCCCTGTTTTGTGGAAAATTTTAGCCGTTTTGTGAAAATTTTGGAGAAATGCCCCTCCCCAAAATAGGGGAGATAAGGACAGAACTGACATGAAGACAAACTAATTATCATGACAACTAGAAGTTAGTTACGTTTAAAAGCATCATCTGGAATTAATGATAATCTAGTAAACTTAATTAAGACTTAAGAGTTGAATTCATGAGTCTGTTGAATTTAGACCATTATGGAAAACCTAGAAACACTGGATGTACGTTCCGTCCTACTATGGGAATCCTCAGCAGTGCACATCCACGATCCCGCAACCCACGAGATTCCAACCCACGACTTATCGGTCTTGTGCGCGAACACTTAACTCCTAGACCACTGAGCCAGTCGGCATCCAACAGTGTTAATGTCTAACTTCAACCAATCCACGAAGTTGCGCCACTACACAACATTATCATCAGTGAGTTACTATCTCACAACAGACCTGGTTGACCTCCACTGATCACTGCTTCTTACTAGAACTCCAAAAAGTATCTCATAGAGACCATCTCATGAATCCAATAAGTAAATTACTATCATATCCACAAAACCCTTATCGGATTAATTAAAACTACTTTTCTCTCTTTAATTTTTTTCTATTTTTTAATCATAATTCACATATAATTTAATTTATTTGTTAAAATTTCATATCTGATTAAAATCTTATAAAAATTCTATTTCATCCTAATCTACTCATCTAAATTGAAATAATTCCAATTGTCTTATATTTCTATGTATATTTGTTTCCCTTTAGTTAGATTGCTGTATATTGTTTGTCTTTCTTTTCTTTTCTTTTTTCTTTCATTCTTTTTTTTATTTTAATTTTTTTCTTTATTTACTTAGTTAAAAATTCAATCTAAACAAAGTCTTTTAATACAATTAGTTCAATTTAATAATTTTTTATCACAAAAAGCAATATCTACTGATTTGTCTACATTAATTCCAGATCTTGGGTAAGTTTCATATCTACCTTTTGTATATGTGTATATCTCTTAATAATTGTTCATAACTATTTTATTACCATGTTAGACTCTGTATTGTTAAAGATGCTAAAAAAGAAAGAAAACAATTTTTCAATTTAGTTGATTACATAATGAAGTTGGGGATAAGGTTAGGGGTAGGGTTGGTCAATTCTCATAATGGTCATGAAAACTGAAGATATGATTTCTAATCATAAATTGTAAAATAAAATTACAAAAAAAAAATTTGAGTAACATTTATTTGTGCTTTGAGTAGATAGTTAGTTATTTGAAATTGGTGTTTGTTTTTCAACCCTTTTTTTTCCTGTAAAACTGAATAATTAATTTATTTATTTATGATTAGTTGAAGAACCTGTATTACTTCACTTTTGTTTAGTAATCAGAAATGAAATTGAACATTTTCATGTTGTTCACTAGTGATTAGCTTCGTAAGGGAATTCTTGAAGTTCTAGTGAAAAGTTGTGATCAGTGGAGTTCAATCTATGTCAGGTAAAGAGTGGTATTTATCTCAGTACAATGGAAAATGGTGAATTGATTGAGATTAAGCATTTACACCGTTGGATGCCGACCGGCTCGAATGTCTAGAGGTTAAGCGTTCGCGTGTGAGATTGAAGGCCCTGGGTTCTCGTTCCGAGAGCAATATCGTGAATGCGCACTGCTGACGAGTCCCATACTATGATGGAACAGCCATCCAGTGCTTCCAGGTTTTCAATGGTGGTCTAGCATCAATCGGTTCATGATGCCATTCAAAAGCGTAATAATCTGCGGAATCTTATAGTGACATTTTCGGTTGTTATATTTTTCCCATTATACAAAATATCTTTAGTGAATAAAAATGTCAAACAACTAAGTGTTTGTAAGAATAAGATTATCTCCAAATACAATAAGTGATTTGTAATTACGTAATCCAATAAACTGAAGTTGGTTAGTTCGATTTTCAATTTTCAAATAGTGATATACCTTCGTTAGTCAGTCAGTTATAATCACTGTAGAGTTTGGCATTAATATGGGTTAGATCAAATTAAAATCCTATATATATAATTAGCAAAGTGTACTGAAATAATTTAGTGACAACTGAGACAGGAGGATTAAATACTGAGAATACGGCTCAGAAAAATAGGAAGAATAGGTATATGTGAATGAACGTTAAAACTCAAGGTCTGGATCAAGATAGAGAGTAAATGGACTTACCACACTATAATTATTTCTGACCCGTGTTATCTAACAAAACTTTACTGGCCTGGCCCCAACCAGGTATTTCTTAACTAACAACATGGTTTAGACTAACGGCCGACGAATTCATGGACAGATCTTACGTCTAGATTTGACCGCAGTTATTTCTCTACCAACTTGACTCCATACTGGCAAATGTTAATCGTCACAGTAGTTGATGGTTGAGGGTATCTAATACATGTCTCAACCATCTTAGTCGATCGATATTTCCACCTCATCTGTTAATTTTCTGCAAAAACTAAGTGATTTCTCTTTTTTCTTAATTATTCAAATTCATGTTTATTTACTACTACTAACAATAATAATAACAGTAATAATATGACTTATGTTAGACCATTAATGAAAACAAGAACACCAATATTAATAGTAATAGATTTATTATTGATGATTGTTTACAAAGGTTTACACGAAACGTAAACAAAAAACATTTCGTCTAACTGCTGTAATAATAAACCTGTCATTTACTCAAATAAAAGGCAGAGATTAATATTAAATTCACTTAGTATTATTTGGCTTGTATCTTCCTATTGAATTCCACTGCTAGCCACTTTCCATCATTGCTTACAAAAAGCTTGTGAATTAAGGCAATATCGAGGCATACGCACAGTATGCACATATGCCAATAACAGACTGATCAATTGCAGTCTCAAACCTCAATGGGAAGATACAATCCAAACAATAGCAAGTGAATTCAAATTCACCCAATTGCACAAGCAAGTGGCTATCAGGACTCAGTAGCTAAGTGGATAACGCGATGGCGTTTGAAGCGAATGGTACTGGGTTCGAGTTCTAGAGTGAACATCAACTCTGAGATGCAGGTACATCCAGCTGATGAGTCCCAAATAGGACAGAACGAGCGTCCTGGAATCCACTGCTAGCCACTATCCATCATTGCTTACCAAGAGATTAATATTAGTTGTGGATTTATGTTTATAAGAAAAAAACATTGTAAATTAGAAAGTATTAGGCTGTTGTTTTACTATGTTTCGTAACTAATCAGTAAAATACACATATGACTCTGTACAAGACTGAATATAAAAAAGTTAGATTCCATGACTAGAACGAGAATTTGAGAAGAATGGGAGGGATTGACTAACAGAATTCAAACGTATGGAAACTGGAGAGTTACGTACAAATGACAATCGATGATTACTACATCACATAGCAAATAAAATGAAGTTCAATTTTTATTCAGTTCTTTTAAATAGATCATGTTTACCAACTGATATAATTATTCCACAATGAACTTCAGGAAATCTCGTGAGTGTATATCATTAGAAAGTTTCTTTCTAAAAGAAAATGGGTGCACAAAATTTCACTATTTTCAACTTTTTTCTGGTTGATGGTAGATAATAATAATCCGTCTTCAAACCTTCATGTAGCTGTCTTTAAAAAAGTACACTTTAGTTTATATAGTCCTAAATCACATGATTATCTAACATATTTACAAAAGCAGTTGCTTAATCCTTATCAAATGATTAGTCACTTCTATAGAATATCAGAAGCAGCTCAAATAACACAGTAGTAATCGCTCGGACGCAGAAACTGGGTGATGTGGTATCAAATTCCACTGCGAGTATCAGTTCCCTCAAAATTACAGGTACGCCTTAGTGAAGGATGAAGATTAGCACAAAACCTAGATTCAGGGTTTCCTTTTGAGCACCTCAAAACTTCCAAATACATTAACAAGAATATAAGTTATTGAAAAATCTTCAAGATATTTAAGCCTTTATCAACATGTCACGTTACTAGTGAACGATTAAAAAACCGAAAACCTAAATAATAATATTTCATTACAAACTTTTACTGACCTTTATCTTGATAAATACTATAAATGACAATGCCTTGCTACCGTAGTATTTGTAACCCTTTCATTTTATCTATGTAATACGAAGTGTGGGGATATATAGAAAGAAAAACAATAAAGCACTTCAAAACACATTTAACACAAATGTTTCCAGTTACTATTTTTGTCGTGAGATTATTTTTCTGAGACGTCGGGCTGTTGACTTTGTACACAAACTGACCTTAAGACTAATGTAACTCTAGAGAGACAAAAGGCAAAGTGTTTGCACCAATTAGTTGTAATCAATTGTACTGCAAAAACATAACTTAGTTTGAGTAAGATTTTGATGTTTAGGTCCAAGTGTAAATAAAATTATGAATTTACATTAGTTCAGTAAGCAATGAGATCCTTTAATAAAGATGGTAAATTCACAATAAAAAAATTGTAGATATTAAAAATACTTCACCATTCAGTCAGTCGTCAGCAAAGTACAACCCAGAATATATGTAGGTCGGTTTGAATTACTGCATTATATTACCATAGTGAGATGCAAAATAGTACAAGTAACCGCAGTAGTTATATAAGATTTCTAAATTTCTGTTTGTTTTAACTAGATTATAATTGGTAGCGAATAGCGATTGAACGCAGGACTTATATTATTCATGGTTTAACACTCTATATTGAGATGTAAATAAGTTGCGCTGCCGAGTTTTGAATAAGACGAAATTGATGTTCTGTATTCGCATACTAATACACTCCAAATATAATCTGTGTTTATGTTTATTTAAACTATTCTAATTCATTTAAGCATCGATAAAATTCTTCATTGAATAAAGTATGGGTATGATGACCTATTATATAAATAATTCCAATTAACCACAGTCTATACAAAAATGACTAGATTCATTCGGACTGACCTACATAATCAAAATGTTATACAAAAGGGTTAACTTACTTTTTATTGATCTTTTTATGTTTCAGTCTTAGTTCTGGAGGTAGTAAACTTTTTCAATATATCCACGATTCTAATATATTGGGTAAGTCTATACCATAAATATATATATCCATTTTATAGTATGCTTAAGTGTTTCCTTAATTACTTATTCTTGAATAAATAATTAGTTAGTTACCTTTACCTTAACTAACTCTGTAATTTGCTAAATAGGATGATTATAACAGTTGTTATATTCTATGCTAGAAGTTCGAAAAATAGAATATTTCTTGAAGGTTGATCCTTGTGATATTCAATGTGATAGTAGACTAATCTTATTGTCTAAGTGACTAAAACTGTATGATAATTCAACTTGACCCATTCTGTGTAGACCTTAGTGATGTAGTTCCAAGAAATTTTAAGAGTAATAATAGTCCATGTAGAGTTTAGTTGTTCATTAACCAGTTTCAGCCAAATATTTGTCTCAAATTTGTATTGAAATCTTTGTATTTATATACTACAATTTCATTTATAAAGTGCCTTTTAAATAAAAATTACTCATTGATTAACTGTAGTATACTGAACTATCCAAGAGTAGTAAATAATAATGAAATAATACACATCGAGTAGAAGATACGTTACGTAATAACTATATAATGACATATCGATTATAAACTAACATTGAGTAATTGGAAGAAAGAGGATTATTATAATCAATGTAATTATTCGAAAATCAAGCAGTTGCTACGTTGCATAATGAATAAAATAAGGAGAAACTAACAAGATATTTTGATGAATGGTCAGTAGTATGGTAATTATGTAAGAATCAACAGATAAATATTGAGAATAAGTAAAATACAAAAATGCAAAAAATGGAAGAAATACGAAAATAGTTTATCAAAGTTCTGCTACAAACTCCCTTATACCGATGGCCTTGTTAGTGAAATTAGTTGTACAAACTTCATTTGGATGCAGATGTTTAGTCTGGGAACATGAATTGCAATGGCTTCAGCAATGTGAAAAAGACGAACTCGTAAAGTAATAGTTTAATGAACAGTATGTGTGTTACTTCAAGAAATAAAACAAACGTCTAGGTCATTTCAAAGTAATATTTAAAATAATCATCATTATTATTTATGATTAGCAGTTTTCAATGGCTTTTTAGCAAGTTTCATGTATGTTTCATAAAACATTAATTGTTATTTCATTGGACTATTCTGTATCATAAGAAAACGACGTTTTGGCAACTAAATAATTGGAAACTAATTGACTCATAACCTCAACTATTAAAATTACTATGCTGTACACAAAAACCCTTCTGATATAATTCAACACATGCTCACTAGTGGCGGTCACTAAGCGGTATTTCCCGGAGTTCTAGTGAGAAGCTGTGCCTAGTGGAGTTCAACCAGGTCTGTTGTGAGATAGTAGCTCACTGATGACAAAAGTGGACGGTGGCTCAACTTCGTGAATTGGTTGAAGTTAGACATTAACACTGTTGGATGCCGACTGGCTCAGTGGTCTAGGAGTTAAGTGTTCACGCACGAGATCGATAAGTTCTGTGTTGGAATCTCGCGGGTTGTAGGATCGTGAATGCGCACTAATGAAGAGTCTCATACTAGGACGAAACGTACATCCAGTGCTTCCAGGTTTTTCATAATGGTTTAGCTTCAATAGACTCATGATCTCAACTATTAAAATAACTAATTATTCCTTTATTATATATTTCAATATGTTTTGTTTTCTTACTTGTATGTTTCTGCAAAAAAGAAATATCACTTTTATTATTACAATGGCCTTATTTTATGCCAGATTTATCAATACCCAGGTAAGCGAGTAAATGAACATGAATATTTTGTTTCCAATTCATAAAAGAAACTATTTTCTCCTTTTTTCTAATAGCTTTTTATGTATTAAAATGTGCTTTATTAAAAAACAAAATTGTTTTTATCATGAGTTTTATATAGTTTATCTAACTGTCTAGTATCATAGATTTTGGTGGAGCTTTGTTCTGTGAGCTGGATAGTTTGACTGTGGAGCGTTCATCGTTCTTCTGAACAAGATCATCAGCATAAACTTCATGTAGAAGTGAAGTGTTCGAATTTCCCCACATATGGCTCATAGCTTGTCCTGTAGAACTCGATGTTGATTCGTTAGTGTGGACCTTAAATCCATCATTGTTTACTTTTTTTTATTTTGGTTTCATCTCCCGTATGTGAAGAAGTTCGAACAATTCACTTCCATCTGAAGTTTTTGCTGATGTCGTTCAGAAGAACAATGAAAGCTCCATGACCAAACCATCAAGCTCAGAGAATAACACTCCACCCAAATCACCCACCTGAGTTGCACATTTTTTCCACCATCTCAAAGTAACAACGGTAATAATAATATTATACTGAATATGCATTCAATTTGTCTTGAATATGTAAAGAGAATGTTGTTTTAAGTATGTTTCTGTATAGCAAGGATTTAGGTCTTCGTAATGATTTGACGTAGACTTTTGATTAAATCTATTAAATATGTACTTAGTATTACATAAAGCCATTTTTATGTTATTATCATTTTTTTCTTTACTATTAAAAGTGAGGATTCACTTTCATACAACGAATGAATTGTGATTTCTAATGGAATCTATGATTAACATTTTGTTATACATGGGACTCATGACTTGAATATACCTAAATCTCATTATTAATGCTTAGATTGATACCCGAACTAAGTACATTTCACTTTAAACCAAATTGTGTTATACACTAGATAAAAATTCAGTCTTGAATATCAATAACAAGGTGATTGAAGCCCTCTAATCAAAGTTCAGTTATTTATGAAAGTATTACATTGTCATACATTAAACAAAATATCAATAACAGAAGATAACTAAAACAATACAAAATTCCTAACATTCTTTAAAATAACCAATCAGATTTTACATTACAGATAACTACAATATAACTGATCTTATTCAAAATAGTGAATCCCTTACTACAAAAAACACAACTACAAATCTGTCTTTGACAACTCGGAAAAACTCAAAAATTGGCACAGGAATTTAAAAGTTTGAATTCAGTTTATGCTGTTATTGAACGACAGAATATGTAGGGGAACATAACTAAAATTAACCTACTTGTTTACTAGCGATTGATAAATGTTATATAAAACTATGATACTGGTAATTCAATTACTTGGTTCCAACGCTTCGATTATAAACTAGAACACCATACCACCTATATAGATCTCAACAACCGAGTTTTATCACTAACAATGTACCTCAAAGTTCAGTACATAAAACTATGCTTGATAAATGAGTTGTCTATGATTTGAATATTGACCGAATTCTTCTAATATATAACCAAAAACGATAACATTGTGTTAGCGGGACATAGACTGAATTAAAGCATGTTTCATGCATGATTGTGTTGGTGCACGCTGATTGGCTATTTCTTATCCAATCCGCGCTAGTCGATACTTGGAGCAGACTCTAGAATCTTCTCATGTAAATATTATAAATATACTAACGTTTCTCTTATTGTACTTCTTATTTCCATCTACCCTTGTTATTTGGGATATGATTTCTTTCCTGTTCAACAGTGTTCCGATTTGGGGACTTGCCAAGTGGATTGGTGTCCATGATTACTAAGCTATAGGAATAGCTGGGTCATAATAAGAAATAATTATAACACATGCATAGCTTCTTATTAAAGTATATATATATGCTTTAATAAGAAGCTATGCATCCATATTTCATGCTTATATACATACATCAGTATCATGAATACAGTATTATGTATGAAGCAAGTACAAAATGTGTTATAATTTTTTCTTATTATGACCCAGCTGTTCCTATTGCTTAGTAATCATGGACACCAATCCACTCGACAAGTCCCCAAATCGGAACACTCGTTTTTTTCTTATTATGACCCAGCTAGTTCCTCAATAGGATGTTTACTGGTATTTAGGAGAGCCCTATGTTAAACCGTTTTTACAGTAAAATATTGAACTACACTAACATTCAATATTGCTGAACAATTCAACATTCTATTACTGTTTAATAAATGTAAATGTCTTTTTGTCCTTACATTAGATATTTAAATTTTGGATATTTATGGTATTCAGTGACAAAAATTATATCAGTTTTACTCACCAATGAGAGTAAGTATAAAAATATTTTTTTAGAAATCTTCATGATTGGAAAGTTTAAACTCTATTTACAGTTAAAAGACTATTTTCTTATGTGGATACGGATTTCTAGAGATTAAAGTCATGTTCAACAGGTCTACTGTAGTTTTTAAATTATCTAAACTACTTAGTAGTATTTGGTGGATCTCACCTATGTCATCTGTAGAAACATTACTTAACAATCTCAATGGATGACTGTTGCATTTAATATGGATTATACTATATTTGAATATCTCGGCCAATAGGTTATTATTTCACAATTTGTATAAAATATTTGTACAGAGTCATTTGAAGGTCCTAGTTTTGATTGCATATGCACTCGACCATGAACGCTTCGTGAAAGAAAAAGTCATCTGTTGAATACTGTATTCCTCCAGTTCAAATTAGTTTGTAATAAATATGGTCTTTAAATTATCTACAGTTCAAAACCGAATGTTTGAGAATGATAAATTGCTAACCATATAAAAATGTAAACGTCTGTTGTGTATTCAGAAAACAGTGCGTTCTTACATTAAACATACCTTGGTAGTATTGACTTTAGGTCTTTATATCAAAGGTGGTATGTTCAGTGTGTTTCCTCCTGAAAAAAATTCAATTTTTCATTACTTTAAGTAAGTTTATTCAACTACCTGACAGCTTTAAATATTTAGGTGATGTAAATCAGTCATAGGGATTCGTATTATTCAGTTTTTGATACCGATCAGTCAAACAAAACACCACAAATACTTTGAGTTCCATAAAACAAGTTAGTCACTTTTTGGACTCAGTAGCTTAGTGGAGGATAGATTGGCATTAAAAGAAATCGGTGCTTAGTTTGAGCCTCATTATAAATGTCAACCCTGAGATGTAAGCATATCAAGCTAATATATCTCAAATGGGATGAAATATGTATCCGAAATTCCATAGCTAGCCACAAACCAGAAATACATCAGAAGTGTGAACTATTTACTAGGTATTTTCTGATATTATTTATAAAAAATCTCCGACTTCATTTTATTAATGCATATCGACCAAGGCAGCCCGAATAGAACTAAAACAAATAAATGAAGCATATGAGATAGTAAAAAATTATTTGTATGTGAAGCTACTTGTAAGATATTTAGCAGATTAAAACTATCGAAAATAAATCACAAGCCTATGCATATAATATGTTTTACAAATAGTCATGAATGGATCAAATGTATGCAACTAAGAAATTTCTACGACCATTTTAACAAAGCTTACAAATATAAGTTTCTTGGGTGTCCAACATAACTCATCAGGAATTCGAGCTGAATGCATCTCAAGGGGAAATATTTGAGTGTAAACACTGACTAATGAAATTCGGAATTCTTTTTCCCGAAATTCCTGTGTGCTCTCTAGAAGTAACTAACTGTATTTATATGGTTTTCATAAAAACACCAGTATGAATGGGAATACATACTTGCTTAGATTTATTTAATCTTATGGTATAAAAAGAATACATGAAAGTTTTTGCATAACTTACATATAATTATTTACTGTCCTTTATACCACTTGTCAGTTATAATCTACTTAAAGCCCAATACGTATGACCATTAGGGTCATTTACGATACTAAATTAATGCAATCAGATGAAATCATTAGGACAATAGAAAAGTGGACATTGTAATTATAATCATAATGATAGTGAGGACTGTGGTTCGTGAAGACAAAATGAAGAGATAGTTATAAATGAATGCTTGAACTCAAGATTCAGACTTATATAAAGGGTTAGTACATGTAAGTCACTTTGGATGATTGTGAGTTATGTGACTCAACTCAACTCCAGGAGTTCTAGTGAGAAGCAGTGACCGGTGGAGTTCAACCGGGTGTGTTGTGAGGTAGTAACTCACTGATGACAATGGTGGATGTGTCGCTCAATTTCGCGGATTAGTTGAAGTTAGACATTAACACCGTTGGATGCCGGCTCAGTGGTCTAGTTGGTTAAGCGCCTGGCGCAAGACTGATAGGTCCTGGGTTCGAATCCCGTGGGGTGGGGTCGTGGTTGCGCACTGCTGAGGAGTCCCACAATAGGACGAAACGGCAGTCTAGTGCTTCCAGGTTTCCCATGGTGGTCTAGCTTCAATTGACTTGTGATCTCAACTGTTGAAATTCATATATGTATATATATGCATAAATTAATTCATTGGTATTCGTTTTAAGGATGCTTGGATGTAAGCATTTTCTATCAAGGTGAACATGATGAATTTGACCAATATGTACGGAAATTCCTCCTGGATTCAAAGTTCATGGTGAGTTATTATTTGTTTTCTTAAAGTTAAAAATTTCTATTACATAATTCTTTATAATTTGACACAGAATAATTACTGGAACCTAATAAGATTATTGAAAAGAATTTTTAGATTTAACAGCTGATAGAAATAAAGCCTTATAGTTTAGATATTCAGCTTGAAGTACACAATTTCATCGAATAAACATACAGAATAAGTATTCCAAACAAATTAAGTTTGTTGTGTGACTTGTTTATCTGCACTATATTCAGAGGCATAATAGTTATTCACTTTACATTACAAAGAGACGCATTCCATCTTGTTTCTATTTAAGATTACATAAGTAAACTATATCAGATTCACTAGAATAATGTACGTAAAATAATTTTATATCAGAAAACAATTTTGTCTCAGAATATTTATATGAATGCATAATAACACAAAGTTTTACAAAAAAATAATCATTAACTTAGGTTACAGAATAGTTCCTATTCAAGGAGATAAGCTCAATAACAACAACAACAGTCAATTGTTAGTACAGAGAATCATAAAGGAGATCAGTTCCATACGGCGGGATAGACTGAAAGCGTTATAACTAATAAAAAGCAGTCAATATACTAGTAAGCAACGAAATACCACTGAGGTTATTCACAACTCTCTAATACTAGCATCTCTAGTGTGGCTCAGCTCGACACAAAAAGTACAAATTCAGTCAAAGTTAGTATTGGAAATGAAATCTTGAATATGGACTACACCACTATATGTAACATTTATGAAATAAACAAATGACGAAATAACTAGGAACGTTCAGTACCACATACCCGATAAAAATGAAAACTTTACTGATAACCTCAACCCGAAATATAGAAAACATAGAATAAACAAACGAATCTCACAAACTGTAAAAGAGATAACCAAGATATATTTCGATAATGTAATTAGAAGACGAGGATTATCAGAACTATGTGATATATTAGCGCAATACATTTCGAACAATCTGATCACACACATAATGTACTTGTTAAGGACACTTTTATGTAAAAATAAAAGGTCAGCTAGACTGGAAATGGGGTAAGAGGAGGCAAGAATAATAATAAGAGTAATAATAATAATGTGAACACAATTTGGAACCTAATCACTTCGGCTTATTACCAGGGTAGGTTTAAGGTGAGAACAAACTGTTTTTGAATACACAAACGGGGTTTGAATTTTCGTATGGCTAAGGCTTCAATAAACCTTAATATACGCCCTTTTACACTTTTATACAACACCACAAAAGCCGAGTTAAGATTAATCTTATAGCCTGTTTCGATTATATGTTTAGCAGTAGAGGATGATGGATATATTTCTTTCTAGACATCAATATAATTACAATTACAGACGGTCAACATTACTGAGTGCTTTTAATAAAATTCAACCTTAATTCATTATTCACTTATTCATAATTATATACATAATGCAATTATATCATCACACGTGTACACTTTGAATTCTGTTTTGTTTTAAGGATCAATGGCTAACATGGTCTAAAACACCAAATGTCTTTCAATCAATTTTAGCTATTGAGATCACAGGTCGAATATATAAAGATTATTTATCAATCAATCATAATCAACCAGATTCTAATTTACCAGGAATATTTCTTACACATAAAGAATTATTCTACCAGTGGATATTTCAAGTAAGTATATCACTGAGTCAGCAAAGTGAACAAAATTCTTTGTATCAAATTCATTCCATTCTTATCTGATATGTAAAACAATCTCCATGTTTTACTAATATCTTCTATTGTTCTTATTTAAATCAATTCAGTACTACTACCCACTCATGAAACAGTGATATAGGTAAGAATATGTTAATGTTTTCAAAAAAATGAACCGAAAAAAGGTTGAACTAATGTAAATTTAAGTGTTTGGAAGAAAACTAGGATTCCTGATACTACTTACCTATCTTATTGATAAATGTTAATGACAACAAAAAGACTAAACTTTTGATGCGATTTAGCAAATTATATTTCAATGTGAATTGACAAAATTCATCTGTCTAAGACGTCAACCGATGACTATGAATTCAAATATTAAAAAGAATAGCAAAATATACGTAATGACGATTTCAAATTTCCTATACAATCTATACCGTTCGAAGTAAAGATCGATGTCAGGCAAGAATGCGTGGTCTCACCCTTTCTCTTTCTCCTGGTAATCGACTGGATCATGAAGACGTCAAAATCAAAAGTATGGGATACAGTGGACAGCTAGGATGCAGCTGGACGATCTAGACCTCACAAACGATCTGGCTCTTCTATCGCACACGCAACAACAAATGCAGGAGAAAACGATCAATGTAGCAGCAGTAGGTCTCAATATACAAAAAGGGAAAAGCAAGATTCGCCGATACATCACAACATGCATCAATCGAATCACACTTGGCGGAAACCTGGAGAACTACGAAGACTATCGTCCAGAAGATACAGGTGTTTATTAACAGCTGTCTACGCAAAATATTTCAGATCCGTTCACCAGACACTATCAGCAACAACCTACTGTGGGAGAGAATAAACCAGATCCTAACGGAAGAAGAAATCAGGAAGCGCTGGAAATGAATAGGACACACATTGAGGAAAGCACCCAAATGCGTCACAAGGCAAGCCCTCACATGGAATCCTCAAGGCCAAAGAAAGAGAGGAAGATCAAAGAACACATTATACCGAGAAATGGAGACAGACAGACATGAGAAGAATGAGCAACAATTGGATAGAACTAGAGAGAAAGGCGCAGGACAGAGTGGGTTGGAGAATGCTGGCCAGCGGCCTATGCTCCATTGGGAGTAGCGGGTGTAAGTAAGTAAGTAATGCTATCTATACATTATTCTAATACAAAGTCAATCGTATTCTGATTGCCCAATAACTTTGAAATAGGATTTTGAAGTTATAACGTAGTTTTAATATATGACCAACAATGGAAGCTATGAAACGCATCTTTTCTTATTTGAAAATCATCAGCTGGATGTATTGTAGTGAACAAGAACACGGGTGGGGACAATCTATTGTATTTAGCACAAAAATTACAGACTATCTCAATAAAATGTGAATACCATAAAGTCAATCGTCAATTTGCAAAATATCATTCCATCATATCAAACTGTACTGTTCCCGTTGCAAACACTAATCCATTGTCTCCTATTCCATTGTACATGCGTTTTCTTACAATTCCATTGTGCTCTTGCTCTTGCTTTCTTGATCTTCGCCATCTTCTGCTGCCGGACATTACGTTCTTTTAACGCACGTTATATACTACTTATATAAGTAGCTCACACCACAGTATTACTAAATTATTACGTTGATATCCAAGACTACGACTGAACATAAATATTAAAATCAAAAGACATCCAGCTGACGAATCCAAAATAGAACGAAACACTAGTCCTGGATCCCATGGCAAACCAAATATCAAATATACTAACGTTTATGACACAGTTGTACCGAGCCAATCCTCCCAGGATCCACATATGGTAACAGGAACTGATCAATCCCAAACCTGAATATAAACAACAGGAAATTATAAAATCTTACTGATAATGAACTAAGTTGTGAGAGCTGCTCAATGTTACACAAAGATACATTTTGGCAATCTTATGGTGATATAACGGATAGTTATGTATATTTTTACCTCTCAGGTATACTTCATTCACATTCTATCAGATCAAGAATCCAAGACTCAGAATAGAGAACCAGAGTATAATCTAGACAGTACTTCATTCCATACAATTACGAGCAGAAAGAAACATATTATTCAATCGGTAGACCATATGCCTGTTTGTCCACGATCGATAACCAATTATATTTTACGTTCACTAGTACATATCATATGGCTATTTAGTACATTTAAGAAACATGTTGGGTGATATCATTTTACATGCCGATAAAATGAATTCGTTACCTAATGGACAATAAAGTAGTTTCATCATTGTTACGTTAAGTTGAAAACGTAGGCTATCAATCAATGAATTGATTCTTAATTAATAACAGGATCCAGGCCTATAAAATACGTTGAAATACTTTCTATAGCCTTATTTGTTGACCTTATGTAATTATATCAAGTAACTGATGAAAATGAATTCCTTCACTAAATTTATTGTTTTATGACGTAATATTTGCATGAATTCTTCTCTGAACATATGTCGATATTTTAAAGATTAGACTTAAAGTATTAGACAATGCAACCATGAAGTAAGATTGACAAATTACATTATTTATTAATAATAACCCTGTCAATATTTAACAGTAGTTGAGTGAATATGGAAACATTGGACGGTCTTCCGTGTTGATCTAGCTTCAATTGACTCATAAATTCAACTATAATATCCACAAAACCCCTATCTGAAAATAGCATTTATCAAAAATCTGAATTATTGCGTCCCACACACTATGCATTTTGAGAGAAATCCCATTGCGCAAAATTTTAATAATATTTTCTCTGTATTGGTTAATATAGCAATTATTGCATAGGTCCCACTTTCTCAGTGTTATGATAAACAAGTTCATCTATGAGATTTATGAACAGATACATGAGTAATAGGGATACATTCACACTACCAATGAAATTAATCTCCGAAGGACCTTTAATGGAAACATAAAATTTTAAATGAACAGCAATTACCAAGTTTTCTCTTTGACTCTTGTTTCACAATATACCGCGCCAAACTGGTCACACATCAACACTTTAAGATTATCATATTAGGAATACAGGTCAAATTAGCCAAAAAATAAAAATAAAAATGCCAGGTGAAGAACATAGATCAAGTCACTTTGGATGCTAAAACAAAATTAATACACATTTCCTTCTCGAACACATTGGAGGTTTGAGTTTTCGTACGGCCAATGTTTCAATAAATCTCAGGTTATTAGTTTAGGGACATTTGTGGAGATTGTAAGATTGATCTTACTAGACCACTGTTGCATCCAACTGTATTAATGTCTAAATTGAACCAATTCACGATATGGCGCAATCATAAACAGCAGTCCATTCATAACCTATTTTCAATGGTAGTATAGACAAAATCAGCTCGTAATTTAGACTAAAAATATATGAGACTATTTGAAACGTTTCAGTTTAATATGTAACAAAACTCTGATAACCACTGTATTCTTATGACATTATGTAGGTTGAAAACATAGTTAAACCTTTTAAATTTCCTTACAAAATTAATCAAATTTAAAACAAACATTGTTATCTTTTCTTTATTTTTAATCTAGCTAATCTGTCCTGGATTCGATTATGCTAATATTATAACGCATAATAATGTTCTACTACATAGTATAGAAGAATGTGATGTAATTCGTACAGCTTTGAAATTATCACCGACATTTAGATGGTTTATGGAATGTTCATGAAAAGAACTCAACAACAACAAAACTTATTTTTATATATTCATTAAAAATCGAAAGCTTCAGTGGATGGATGGATATCTAACCAGAACAGAAATTGTGAATAATAACTTTCTAGTAAAAAGAAAAATATCATAATATTATCTAGTTTATCATGATTCTGATTTGAAGAAACATTTTAATATGAAATTCACATCAATCAACTTTAATTTGAATTAATCATGTTTTGTATTCAGACTAATAACAGTTAATGGTACAAGTTTAGAATGAAATCAAGTTTCTATTATCAATTTAATTGATCATAGACTTGTAAGAAATATGATATTTAAAAAAAAAACCCAGAAGATCATAATGATTTAAAGTGAAAGCATCCTTGAATCATTCAATTCAATATTATTGATTTATTGGATTAGATCATAATTGATTTTTTTATTTTTGGAACTGAAATTCAATCAGTTTACCATGATATAATCAATAAAATCTTCTCAATTGGATTTAATTGAACCATTGTTAAAATAAAGTCTTGATTTTCTTAAGGTTTGTCTTCATGAAAGAGTAAATATATGTGAAAAATCCACTAATCATATCACATGCATATATCATATATCTTGTAAACAACTGAAAGCAATCCAATCTAAGGCTTTGTAAATTTATTTTAAAAATTTCATATACAAGTCTACCAAACAGAATCAATTCGATAGTTCATTTTCTTCTTGAACAAACAAACAAACACACAATAAGCTGCTAACTACTTGTAACTTAAAAATTAGAATATTCTATATTTTAATGTGTAAATCAGTAGTATAAAAAAGTTTCACTTTTCCTCAGACAAATTCCTTGCATAATGATTTCATGTATGTCTATTAGTATCACAATAGAAAGAACATTGTATACATGAAAACGAAAACAAAGAATTCGTTACATATTAATAAAAACAAAAAAATCGTCTATTGTATTAAATATATGATGAGGAATGTATGCATATTCTTTTACTGTCTGTTCTGTCTCAAGATAGTTTATAGTAATTCCGAATGATGTACAATAGAAAGATTCTTCTTACAAAATTAACATTAATCCCCTAAACACCATTAAAGAGAGAACTAAAATAAAGAGATCAATTTAATATGATTAGTCGGGGTTGTAATGTAAAAACAATTTTAACATTTTGACATATAGTAAATATAGCAAACGAAATACGAAAACGACCAACTGCTTAGCAGTAGAGATATTGTCAACATCAGAACTTCCACTTCAGTAAACTTTATATTGAAATCATTCGGTAATTCTGAAGTTAATTATCAATTGGAGTTCAATGGAAAAGTATAAATAGATGTGTTTTTAGGCTTTGGAGATGCTCAATTTGTTAACGTTTAATAAATAAAGTTCATAAGTGGTGAACGACTAATTTTACGATCATATCTGGTGACTTATATGTTGAAAAGTATCAAAATGCATGGAAATAAAGTAGTATTAATTATTATGAGAAAGACTAAACAATAAAAATATGGCTCGAAAAGATGGAATGAAAAGGCAGGTATTGAGGAATACTGCAACTCAAGAAAAAGGGTTAAGGCATTTGCCCCACTAAGACCGATTATGAGTCATGTCATATAACCTCCAAACTACTAATCGGAGTAATGTTATATTGAGCAGAAAAATCTAAAACATAACGGAAAGTGAGTTCCTCATTCCTTCCACTGTTGATGATATGAAACCCATAGGAAGGTTAGTAGGTACTGCTTCGATGTGTGGTGGATTCAGTGAGGTTAGTCTATTCAACAGTCCAGTCCTTCAAAGTCCTCTACCCACCTCTTCCACTGTTCTTCAATCTTAGTGATTCTCTTGCCTTCTGTGTTCTTGACTAGTTTCTATGGTCTACTATAGTTCCCTGTTAGTTTCTTCGTCGTATCATATAGTCGTCTCAGATTGTCTTCTCTTGCAGCTTTCTCCAATGTCATTGCTAGGTCTTCCACGTATTCCTACTCGTCGGTTCTAGTGCTTCTCTTCACTTGTTTGTTTGCTTCTGTGTATGTGGTCTGTGCATCGGCTTTTTCTGCTCTTGTTCAACTATTGTTAATTGAGGTTTTCTTGTTCCTCCTTTCTTGAATCTTGTACAGGAATTCGATAAACATCCATTTCTGACGATGTTTCTCGCAGTCCAGCACCTAATGCACATTGAAACTGGAGCCTATTTGATCCATCTCCAATTGTTCTCCATAGAAGTTTCCTCTTTAAGTAGAGCATGTAAGGCTTGAAACTTTGTTGCTGAGAGCTATCTTGGATTGGTTAAGTTTTTCATTATCTCGAAGGAACGTTGCATTGAAGTTTTGAAACGCTGTTTGTCTATTGCTTCTTTAGCTTCAGTTTCGTCTTGGCAATCATCAGGTTGTGATTTGAAGCTATATCAGCTCCTCTCTTTGTTCTCACAACTTCTATTGACCTTTCGAATTTTTCGGTCATTCAAATATGATCGATCTGGTTCTCTATAGTGTGATCCGGTGAGACCCATGTAGATTTGTCTGCATTTGTTTGAGAATATATTGCTATCAATAACCATTTCGCTGAAGGCATATACATTTGGAAAGCTCTCACCATTCTCGTTCCCTTCTCATAATCAGTCCATGTCTTCGCATGATATCTTCTCACCCAGTGCTATCCATTCCGACTTTGGAGTTTAGATTTCCCATCAGAATGCCCAGGTCCTTTTCTGGAGGCTTCTCTATGATCAATAGCAGAATCTCAAAAAACTTATCTTTATTGTTTTCATTTCTATCATCAGTAATTGCATAGCACTGAAGGATGCCTTGATGATCCTGGATGCATGAGATTCCTATCCTGTAAGTTCTTTCCGTGCTTCTTTAGATAGGATCAGTGCAACTCGTTTTGTATGCGTAGCATTTTCTCATTTATGATCAGTGAGTGACAGCATCTCTCCCGAATCTAATCTTTAGTGTCCAGTTTGGGTCAAATGCGTTGCACTTATTTCGACAACAGTCAAGTTTCTTGTTTATGTTGCCTGCTTATCAGGTGCTTGTAAGCGTTTCGAGTCACGAATGAATATGGTACACCAGAATCGTTATCTGCCTAATGTGTTCGTGTTCCGTCTGGCTATCAAGGTAGAAGGGGGAAATTTATGGTGTATTGATAGGTGTGTAAGTATTTATCTCGATCGTCATCCCACGGTCACTGGTTGTACAAGAATATAAGCGAAAGAGGTTAATGACAGACAGAATACTTATCTCCTCCGACAGTCAGAAAGCAAATCACATGGAGTCAAGTAATTATCTTCATAAAATCATATTATGATATTACACGCAATCCAGTGATATGAAGCTACATAGAACTGATGTTCTGTATTCCAAAAAACGACAACTCAACTACCAATCAATTACTTTACACTAAACAGTATACAAACCATTAGTTATACAACATAAGTGAAGGCTATTTATAAGCTAAATCGCATACACTCAACAGAATTAAACTACTGATAAGCTTAACAAGCAAACTTAATCACAATCATTTGCCTACACGTTTTATAAGTTTAGTGAAAATAAGTTCGATCAAAGTTTGACAATAATCTCATGTAATAATGTATCAAGAAAACCGATATAATTAATTTTACGATAAAAGACTATTTTATCCATATATTATGCTGTAGTGAACGAGAACACAAGTGTATTCGACTACAAAATTACAGAATCTCTTAGTAGAATCTGAGAACCATACAGTAAATACCTCATTTGCAAAATATCCATCAATTGTCTCAGACATTATCATTCCTTCGTTTCCATAGCAATCACTCTCTGTTCTCGTTCTCTTCTCTTCGATCTTCTCAACCTTCTATACCAGGCATTCCACTTTCGACTGGTGGTACATACTACTTATATATGTCAACATCAGTAGTATACACCACGATACTTTATAAATGATATCACAAGCAAAGTATACATACTCATTAGAAAATATATCGAAATTAATTCAATGCTACTCAACTCATCGAATGAGTTTAATACGAAACCGAATACTCTTAGCAAAAATACAGGGTAAATGAACTTTTTATCATATTTTAGAAAAAGGAAACATAAAGCAAGATAGTCATAACAAATGAACACCAAATAGAAAAAACGAAATCACAAAGTAAACTGTGAACATTGTGAATTTCAGTTTGTTTCTCCTTTTATGAAATTTGTTAACGCTGTAAACATTGAATTTTGATCCTGTCTTAAATGTTTCATTTCATTTGCAATTAATAACGCCACATTACGTCCACCGATTATAGCCATTTCCATACATGAAGCAGTTAATTCAATCGCATTTGGATAGTAAACTCTTGGTGCTAATTTGAACTGGCCCAAATCAGTATCTGGATCATTCTATGATGATTACAAAATAGCATATGAAAATGATACAATTAGTATAGAATTTATTGACTTTTAACTGTTAATCATGCTGAAACTATAATGATAGGAGCACTGACAAGTAGGTGAACAATAATTATGTTAAACATCACACAAAAACTATATATACTTTTAAATTAATCAGATGATCATTGAGTAACATTTTGCGATATCATGATTATTAGAATTCAGACATTGATAAAATATAGGCTTTATACGCTGCCCCATTAGGAACAGCGTTTTAATAATGATCGAGATGTAATAGAGCCTGCTCGTATTAGAATAAGTTCAATAATACCGTACTATCGTAACCAATTGTTGGAGACTTTGGGTGAAATGGCTTAGAATCGATCACAATGGTGTAGGCGTATACACTCTTTATCTGCCATTAAACTGTGAGATTAAAATTGCTCTATATCTCACATAATACCAACGAATTCTTTCTTCTTGTATTATATCCTTATATGCAATCTTCCTTTTATATATTACTACCATTGAAGTAACTACTTCTATGGATTTGGTTTTCATCTTGTTGTGATAATGAGGTGTGGAAACTTGGACCGATGCATATATGTGCCTGGTCCTACGTTGTTGACTGACAATAATACCGTAATTGTCAATTACGCTCACCATGTACTGAATCTCGACATCAAGACACAATAAAACATATCCGAATTTTCATTTGTATTCTCATCTTTTTCTAAATACCGAAG